CCCCCCCCCCCCCCCGCAAGGATCCTAACAGAAAGCTAACTAAATTTGTTCAAAGACCTGCTTCTCACAAATAGTCCACCTTTACAGCTACTTTAAAAAAAGACATTCTACAATGAAAAGGCCTTTTTTTGTAGGCCCCCAAAATATACCCAAAGTAGCCCCGATTTACCACAACATTTCTTGAATGCCTGGGTTAGTTTACCTCACATCAGGGATCGGTTTAGATGATTTTCTGCCTTTGATTTTGAACTCATGAGAAGTTCCTTCTGGTTCTTTCTCAGCCTTTAAAGCAGCATTTGGTGGCACAGGAGGAACACGAATTCTCAAGCCAAACAAATGCTTCTTTTTCTTTATTTCTTTTCCAGACATAAACCTAGATGATTTTAAATTAGTTGTTAAAACTCTGACCCCAGGGAAAGCAACTTTTAAAATAACAGCATACATGCAAGACAAAGCTATGCAAATTAGAATATTCATTCCAACGCTATTTTATTCCCCTCTTTGCTCTAATGCAATCCTCAGTCTCAAATACACAATGTGAAATGGAAAGAGGATGGAAATTAAAACAAATTTCTTCTCATGATCTGGGTTTCACTCCAATAGTTATGCTATAGCTTGAAATAGAAACAGTATTTAAAATTTAAGTGTTAGCTGCAGCCAAAGTGAGTATCAGACAGGCTGAGCAAAGGAGACTGAAGACTGTAATCTGTATCAGACTAAACAAGCAAACAACATTTAGAACAAAAAAGTACCAATAACTTACATGGTCTTGTAATCATTTAATGCCTCCAGTACATGCTCATATCTTTCAGATTTTGGTGTATCTGCCAGCTGTGAAGTATTAAGAAATCATTTAACCTGTCAAATTCTTTACTAATAGAAAGATTCCAGTTACTCTGAGTCACTGTAACTACAGATTTGGATATGAAGTACATTTATGAAGTATTAGCTGTGAAACTACCTAATCCCAAAGGATATTAATCATTATCCCATATATTCTGTGATTTACATCCACAGAATTCACACCAGGATCAAGCCCAGGCCAAAGAACTGGAGTTTTACTTGTAAGAAGGGCAAGAAAAATACCTCAAAGAATTTTAGTATACTCAAAGAACATAATACTAGCTTGCCTCCCAAGACTAATTTTTCAGTAGCATTATATACTCCCAAATTAACTGAGATTGCAAGAAGTTAACTATATTGACAAAAAGAACTTAGCTACTCCATTGGTGATCATTTTAACCAAAATCCTGCCACAGGACCCAATTCCCGTTTTTGCTAACATTACTCAACATGATACAAAAAAATGGAAGAGGCCCAGAAAAGTTATTCATGCCCCTTTTGCTAAGGCCCTGTCTAACCTCCCTTCTTGCACCAACACCTGAAGTAGCTAGTCCCTATCAAGCTACCAAAACATGGAATCTTCTCTCTGAAAAACTGCATACCTCTGAACTAGAAAGACAAAGAAAAATAAGTATGATGGTGGTGACTATAAAGAAATAGACACAACATTTATGCAATACAATTTGAAATTAGATTTTTTAATTTTTATATTTAGACAGCCATTTTTAAACTCCAGTGAGGCTACCATACTTCCAGTTGCCAAAACGTTCTAGAACTTGTATCCAATTGGCTCTGCAATAAATTTAGAGTTGACTAAGATTCACTATTAGTGTGAATACTAGAGCATACTGTCCAACATTTGCAGCTCAAAGAAAGCCCCATCGACCTTCAGATACTTTCTAAAGAATACATTCTGACCAAACAGGACAGATAGAAATGCTAAATAAATGAGTAAACACACTCACAAACGCCAACCTTTTAACACAGTTTTGGGCAAGATTCGTAGTCAGTCTACCTGACTATCAAAGTTAAGGGAGGTATTCAACCGATTTTAGCCAAAGAACTTAACTGTGTTTACCATATGCCTTCAGTACAACCCATTGTTATCCAGAAATCTTGCAACTCTGCAGCACTTCACTACAGAAAATCACCATACATTTATAAATAACGATGTGCTAAAAGTTACTGGCTTAGAAGGTCTGATAATTCCACTATTTACTCCCATCTTACCTATGCTTAAAAAGCCTCCCTCTTACTCAACTATAAGCAGCTAGAGAAAGAAACCAAAGTGTCATTTCTAACAGTGGAAAGCCAAGAATATTAGAAAACCCTTAAACCCATTATATCGTAGACATTATTTTTCTGTGACTAATTCCTTTTTAATAAGGAAACCAGATTAGCTGAAGCAGTAAAATACATTTGCCTCAAATTGTTCAAGACACTGTTTTTCCCCAACTTAGTGAAAGACATTTAGAATCTTTTCAGAACAGTCTTGAAGATTTCCTCACCACTACTTTCCTACCTTTATTCAAAAGCTACCCCTTCAAATACGTAATCTTCAGACTTAAAAGTAGTTTCCTTAAAGGTGTAGAAATATTCATTAAGGAACTGAAAGTACCACTTAAACAGGTGAGTTTCCTTATTTTTGAACTCCCCTGTCCTTCCTTCCCCTTAGTTATCTGTTTTTCACATAGATTGAGCATGGATTGAAAGCAGAAAGGTGGAAAAGCAGCACAATGAGGGCTGCAGCCATTCAACTCCTTCAAAATGGAGAGCGTGTTCCAAGTCAATGGCAGCTACATAGCTCCACTCTCCTCATCCACACCACAGCTGCTCTGAGCAGCCTTTCTGACATGAAATTATGTTAAATCTAAATAAAATTCTATTATGTGAAATAAACAAACATTTTCTTCTGTTTCACTCAATATTAAGAGAAGTAAAAATTAAACACTGCTTATTATTTGTTAAACTGCACAGTAAGACAGCCAGAACATTTCATTCTATTGAAAACACCATGAGAGTTACCACATTTTGTGCATTTTTTATTTTAAAGCTTGATATGACAGAATTGAATTGATATGACTTAGCGAAGAGATGCCATACATCTCAGAGTAAACCAGATGTCTATTCATAATGACACTAATTGTTGGGGGTTTTAGTAATGCTTAAGTGTTTGTCTTTCTAACAAACTATTGACACTCATAGTCTAAACATATGTATTTAAACTATTTATGAAAAGTAGTTACTCATTTAAACCAAAAACATGCATTTGATTCTCAAATTGTGTCTGCTAGTAAAAATGGATTAGATAGATGAATTTTACTGAAAAGAAACAAAAACATAGGATATACTCATGATAATAAAATTTCAAACCAGTTATATGCCACCTGTATTAAAAACTTCAAAACACTAAACAGTTTTCACACACAAAAAAGCACATGCTCTACTAGCAGTATAAAAATTTGAACCTAGACATAAATTTTGCATTCAACCTTACATGCAGCACCAAATATCTACACTGGTCCTCCTAGTTAAATATGACATCAGTCTGCTTGAGGAAATGGATTTCTTTTAATGCTGGAAAAATAACTGGGCAGTTATCATAGCTATTTGATTTACTACTATAGCAATGAACTGAAACCAAGATGCCCTGACAAGTAGCAGTCAGACCGGAAAAAGGATCAAAATCTTAAGACCTGGACATGAACTGACCATGCACACGTTTGAGTACAGTAATTGGTTGTGTTACACCTTAGAGACTTTGAAGAGGTCTTCATATGCAATATACTCTGCATTCAGTTCTACATTTAGATTTTCTGGTCTCTGCACTTGAAAATATCAAAGTAGTATGAGACATAAAATGAAAGAAAAGAAAAAAATATATATGCAACAGAATAAAAAGTTGAGTATAAATAAAGTCACCATGCAAATAATAAAATAATAGTTATATGGATCACTTGAGAAATTTTACACCTCAAAAACATACACCACTTAAAAAGCATTCTATTTCTGCAAGGAAATTAAAGATGATCTCCTCATTATTTGGGATTACCAGACTTTAAGGCAATAGAGGATTTAACATTCAGAATAAAACAGTTCATAGGTTGCTAACTTTCAGGACATACAGATACACTGTAAGGAAAAACAAGAAAGAGTATTCCCATTACTTACCTCACCAGGATGCAATCTATCCCAGTTTTCATTAATATAGGCCATGAGTTCAAGCTCCGAATCAAAGTATTTCTTCTTATGAATAACACTTAGGTTGTAAAGGCATAGATGTGCTATATCTACCCTAGAGTTCAGAAATATTTGAATAAAAAAAAAAGAGGAAAAGTATTTTCCTTCCAATTTCTACTAAACTATTTCAAAGAAAAGCAAAGATCTCAGCACAATATAGCTCGAGGAACACAAAGCACAATGTGAAAACACTCGATTCAGGGAACAGCATTATGAAGTCTCCTGGCATTTCTCTTCAAGTGATTCCTCCAGCTCTAAATTTTACTTTCATCTCTGCCTCATCTCATTGTCATGATGTTCTTTTAAACTCCAAAACTGGTCTAAAGTGTATAATATTTAAGTAAGTCCGAACTCATACTTGAATGTATTGGTTCTGAACTCATGCAAGTATTTTGGTGAACTAACATTTAACAAGGTAGTTTCCACCATACGTTTGTTAGCATGTATATACACTAAATTGGATATCATTTCTAATATGTGTTAGTTCAAAGATTTCAAACAACAACCAACCATTCAGTGTCATCAAGAAAACTTATAAAACGTGTCACTACATTTGGCTTATCTAATGGCAAGATCCTAAACCTGCAAAAAGACTTTGTTCAGATATTTCAGTCTTTATCTATACAAGTGAGTAGTTGCTTGCTACTTTACTGAACAATCCCAGGAATAACTCCAATTTATTGCACGCAATTGCAATGTATCTCTAAATTTAAGGATAAGCTTTGAAGGAAAATTTGTCCCTGTTCATACAATCAGTAAGAACAACTCAAGAAACAACTGAAGACAGCAAGCAGATTTCCTTTTTTGCAAAGAGAATCAAAATACCAAAAGAAAAGCAGAGCATGTATGCAACTCCCCCCTTTTTCCCCCCCCCCCCCCCCCCTTTTTTTTTTAAATTCATACTTACCATCTCAAGGGTAAACGTTTGAGGTATTCTGGTCCAGAACTGCAAACTGAGCAAATGAACGTATAAAACCTAAAAATATATACATATGTATATGTACATGTGTCTGGGTGGTGAGCATCTGTACACACACACACACACTCAATTAATATTTTAACACCCTAGTTACAAAAAAGTAAAAGTTAAGCAGGCTAGAAACCCAGCCACGTGGTATTTGAGAGTCCCTTTGTCCTCCACCTTCCTTTATCAACTTCCACAATCTGTGCTGGTACCTACCAGGCCAGATACAAGGTACTTCCTCAATTTTATCCTGGTACCACAGGTTCATACTCCCCGAGAATGTCCCAAAACCTGTGACTATACCAGTGAACATTCTCTGTAATGTCCCCACTCCATTCTCTCAAACGCAGAAACTTGTGTACCAGTGTAAGGGCACATTTAAAGGACCCATGCAATCCTGGGTCCTAACTTGTTCCTTCATACAAACATTCTAACAGCTGAAAGAAAGTATAATACATAATGAATGAGATACTCCTTGATTCCCTTCTCCAGTTTTCTCTTTCATCTGCTGCAACTGCTCCAAGTTCCTCTTAAAATGAAAGCACAGACCAGTGCTTTTTTTTCATTTCCTTTTGTCACAGCACATCACACAACACAGGAGGTAGAGTTCCCTTCAGTCTAACTATCCTTTCAGCTTTCTCCAGCTCCCTATACTGTTAGTACAGGGAACTACTACTGCACACGCACACAGAGCCTACCTTGTAGCACGGTGCCTGTTTCATACAAGAAATTAGTCACCTACAACATGGGAACTTGAAAGCCCTTATCTAACTTACAGGCCCACTAAAGTGGTCTGCTTTAAAGCTTCCAATCTCCCAGTAGCCAGCACCTGTAGTATAATGGACTTCCACACAAATAGAAGTCAGTAACAGTATGAATTCAACTATCCATTGGTTACCTCTCCGCCACCCACCACCCCACCCTCCTTCATTAAATGGAGATGAACTGCCTTTTCCTGGCACCTGAACATACACTTTATTTCCTATAATCTTCTACACAAAACTCATCCCGTTTTTGGAAAATACTGTCATATTACAGATGCCTTAATAAAAGCTCATATGTGAGATTCCCTCCACATTTTAAGGAAGGACAACCAGAAAGTACAGCTTAAGTTTCTTACCTGTCACCAAAAAGCATTGGCTTTTGGAGGCACTGCACACAAGCCTCATGAAACCACTGCTTACATTTGCAGCACTGCAACATCTTTAGATACCAGCTTCACCAACAGAAAGAAAAACAAGATGTGTTTTAAAAGTTGCTGAAAATTGTTCTTCATCATGTTTAAATTAAATAGCAAGGGATCTTCTGATCCAAACTGATTTTCAGAGTTTATAAAACAGTCCTCTGCAGGGATATTTCAGCAACATTTAGTCCCATAATGAATCACTACTAGAAGAGTGACTAAGAATAATAAAAGATAACTTCATTCATCCTTTTACTAGGCTATTAAATGTAGAAAATAAAAATTTAGTTTCCTCTGACAACCACATTTTAATTCTCAATAATAAAAACTCAGTAACTCCATATAAGCTCCTTCTCACATACTGGATTAGCTTCCCTGTTATTTTCCAAAGCATGACACAGCTGCATTAAGTCAGAAACATTTGATCTGAAGAGTCAACTACCTGAATCCTCAAAATTGATCTCATTTTACTTTTTTTTCTTTTCCTTTTTCAGCTTCTCTCTTGAGAAAAGGAACCATGCAAAACTGAAGGCGATGTTTGTCCAAGTTTGAGAATTTTGCAGACTAGAGCTCTGTCCTGTGAGTATAACTCTTAAAAGCTTTGCTTCTTTGTAGGACTCTTGACTTGCCTTGACTTCAAGTCTTCAATGCTATTTTACTCATTCACTCATCCATGCAGACATCAGAGTATTTATTTCTACCTGCTTAAGAAGTCCTCTTCTTGCCTTTCTTGTAAGAAAAAGAACCAGCAGAGGACTCTGTAATACCGTAAGAGGAAAGTGTCTTTCCCCCACCAGTAATTGCAATCCAGGGTATGATGTTACGGTAGAATCAGACAGCTGTCTATTCCACCAAAACTGAATAAACTAATCTGTAGATACATTTATATTTGTGGCTAATGACAGAGCTGAGTTATCAGGAAAACACCGCCTAGAATTGCAAGATCAACAAACAACTCCATCCAATCTCAACACATGAACAGTAGCAACGCAAAAAAATGCTTGTTGAAGGACTGTGATGTTATGTGATCGTCACACAACAGAAAACAAACCGAAAGATCTGATGGGAGAAGGAAAGCCATTAATAATTTATTTCCCATGAGACATTTAAAAAAATAAATATAATTCAAAATTCCACATTGCATCGAGTTTAATACTTAACACACAATAGAAACAAACTAACAAGTTCACAAGTAAAAGCCTACAGGATCAGTGCCTACAGGATCAGTTACAGAAAAGAGTTCTTATATATTATTTGTTTACTTACTCTCCAGGTCCTCCACAATAGCAGTAACACTGCTGGACATTGGTTTTATGACCTGCATCCCATTCAAGCTCTGTTGCATTATACGGTAACGTTTGTTTCATGACTTGCAGTGCTTTGGCATTTGGTCCTTTCTTAAGAGCACCACCCCTCTGGGCCAAAACAAATATATTAGTTTACAAAAAATAAAATTCTGAAACTCTCAAATCCTTTAATTTCAAAGTCTCAAAAGTTTGCCTATAATCAAGTAAAATACTTTCACTTGTATTTGTATTTTAATACTAGCATATTTGTTTAAAAATAAATCGCAAGTCAAATGTCACCTATTTCTAAAATAAATTCCCAACATGTAAAACTTCAATTTAGGTCAAAGTTAACAAAAAAGAAATCACTGAAAAAAAATGCTCTCTCTTTTTGTTTCAATTTCAACAATAATGTATGCATGCAACATGGAACACATTAAGAAAGGTTTTTCTAGAAACACACCTTTGTTGTTGTTGCAAAAACACACTGTCGACAGAGCCATTTATCATCTGAATCAATCACGCTGGAATCAATATTTGGTGTGTGACACAGCTGATGATACCCTGTATAAAAAATGATCAAAGTGTTATTACAACGGCAAGAGAAGCTGACACAGAGTTAACTGTATACAATTTTAATGCAACTATAAGGCATTATCCATCATTAAGTGCCAAAAAACCTGATCAAAAAGATCAGTAACATTCAAATTGGTTTTAAATTTTCTTAGTAGAAAAAAAAAAATAAACTTTACTTACAGAACAAGTGTTAGTGACTAACATGGATTATTATTATTCACTAAGCTGTAAATAGCCGCTAAGCACTAGAAAATTTAAGATCAGTTGAGCAGTCAGTCATAGCCAGGCAAATATCCTCCTTCATAAAACAAATCAAAACATCTTTTAAAACACAGTAAACAGGGGAAAAAAAAAAATCTAGTTACCTTGCCCACATTTATCACATATAACCATTTCATTCGGTGCTTCTGAATACTCTTCCTGACATATTGTACAGACCATTTCCCCACTCTCAGTGGCTCCTAGACAAAGATGAAAGTGATTTTTTTTTTCAGATTACATCTGCAATTGGAACGGTTACGACATGTACGGCTTTTTTCATAATTTCAGTTACAGATCCATGCACTGAAGAAATATATTGTTATAGAGCCTAACTTCCTAACAACAAATTCAGACATTCTGCAGACTGTATGCGGTACAAATATTTGTATCACCTACTATAGGCTATACATTGCTTATCTACTATGCAGTCCATAGTTCCTTAATATCACAATAAAAATTAAATAATTGAATAAATAGGCAGGCTTAGAAATACGTATATAAAAAAATCCTATCTGGACAGCTGATGGATATGTTTTGCATTTACAGTAGTTTGTGCCTCTTTTCATACAAATAGATGCGTAATTTGGCATGTATCTTTTTGACAGATCTGCTTTAATATTAAACTCCAACACTTACGAAACACGTTATTACCTCTTATACATATCTGCAAGCATACAAAAGCACACACTAACAGTAGAGGTAAGAAAAAAGGTAGCTTGCAAACTGGAAACAAAACTACATCTTGCTCCAATTATACCACCTATCCATGCAGAAGTCTGCATTAAAATACGTTTCTTAATCTACATATTATCATACTGATGCACTGAAGTTTGATAGTTATGATAAATGAATCGGAGATCATAAACTAGTGCTATACAGAAACAGAAGAGCTGTATTTTAAAAGCTTCTCAGAAATAAAGCAGTTCATTTTTTTGTTGTTATGAACACAAATATTTTCCTGTTAGCAGATAAACTGTTTAGTTTAAGCATCAAGAATTGGCAAGAGCCAGATCAGGATCCACTGCCTTTATATGATGAGGAAATTGTAACCGATTTTCAGAAGAAATTGTCACTGAAACTGTCAGCCATATTTCATCAGCATTAGATTACCAAAGTACTAGCTACTCCCCAAATATCTGAAGAACCAAACTTAACATACAATAGGTATCTCACTTGATAATTGCACATTTCTTTATATCACATGAATACTCCAAAATCTGTAATGGTTTCTTATGTGCAACAGTTATGGTGTTACTTTTAAATGTGAAAACTCCACTCAAACCTAGGATTTTCCAATCTTTGGTTTCTTTCCACGTCATGTTGTTTCAACTGAAAACAATAGGAGGACATAAAAGTTGGTGTAAATTAGGGCCTGAAGTCTTCTATTAAGACAGTGTATTATACTCTATCCCCATCCAAATAAACTCAAATGTGATTATTTTTAGATGTGTTCTCCCCTCCCTGCACACAGGAAAAAAAGAAGTAGCTGCAATGATAGAGTTGTTCGAAAAGGTTTTGATTTTTTAAATTTGCCTAATTCATGATCCTGGGTCACATTAGACTATATTGCTCTTTAGGACACAAGAATATAATGTCATAATTTGTTTTAACAGATATAGAAATCTAAACAAAATACCAAACAACGACTACTTCACTGAAGTTCTTGCCTGTTTGTATGTCCTTCCAGAGAACCCAGGATTTGGAACTGTCTTCAAATATAATGAAGCAGTTCTGTTTCAGTTTGTTTATCTGAAAAACAAAAATACAGTGGAAGCCGTGAGTAAAAGGACTACACAAGTAGTATTAAATACATTCTTTTAAGTGAGATGATAACACTGTAATATTTAACCAACATATGATACTGTAAAGGCTCCAGTGAAGTTAAAAAGTCATTCACCTTTTTGATAGTTCCAAGATAAAACAAGCCATCTGACCATCTAGCTAGGACATCCTGACCTTCTTCAAATTTACACAGTGGCTTTTTGGCTTTGTGTCCATCACGTAATGACAGCTTGGTCAGAGATGCTGAGCTCTTATGGCTTCGACGTAAAGGAGACCGCTTATGGACCAGTGAATTACCCACCGCTGTAGAGTCTCTAAAGAAAGGGAAGCAAGAGAAAAGGTAATCAGAATTAAGTTAAAGTAAGAAACTATGCATTTTAAATACTAGTATGCTTCACAGCTAGAACTCGCTTAATTAACTCCAAGTAACTAAAAACCCAGTCATGTTTTCAGATTTCACGCACCTTTGGTAGCAGTGCCTCTGCTACTGTAAGAGCCTCTTTCAAATTTTGTAGACAAGTTTATATAAAAAAAAATCTTTTATGGAATCAACTAATGTAAATGAGGATGGGGAGATACAAACATTCCAGCTGAGAGACTCTTCATAAAGTCACCAGAAGCATCAAAGAATGCATCAAAAACATTCAATACAGGATTACTTATTCAAAATATCAGGTGCTCAAGTCACTGAGTTTTCTAAATCCCAAGGAAGCTAAAAAGGTGCAAAGCCAACTCTAGCTACATTACCTTGGTAGGGAGAGTAGCAGTCAACAACTAATGTAGTACTCAGCACTTAGTTACTCAAAATAAATTAAAAAAATCCCAAACCACCCAGCCAAAACAAACAAACAAAAACCCCAAACAACAAGGGAGGTGTGGGGCAGCTGGGCACAGGCAAAAGAAACCAGGTAACTCAAAGTCTGTACTAACTCAGGTACCTCCAACACAGCGTCATGCTAAGACTAGCTGTAGAGGTTTCCAGCCCAGGAACTATTTCTACACATTACATTTCCAATGTAAAATAAGTTTTCCTCTCTGTTAGAATCAGAAAGGAAAAGAACAAGGAAGGAAAACCAAAAGATCTTGCAACCTATCTTCACAGATGAAATTCAACATTAGAAGTTATTTGAATCAATAGTAATTTTCTTCCTCATACAATTTCATACTATATAGCATATTTATACAAGTGTGAACATGCTTTTATGTCAGAGTAGTTATCAAACACTACACTCCAAGTAACAGAGTAAAACATAGAAAGTCATAAAATAGGACCAAATAATGCACAAGGAATCATCTTCAGAAGTAATAGGCAGAATTTGAGACTACAAAACAAATTTACCATTCTTTTATCCAAATGTATTATCTCTTCAGAAACTAAATGTATGTATAAACTGATGCAAACACAGGGACAGACCAGGATGTTGAACAGGATAGAGTCAACTGAAAGGGAAGAGTTCCACCTCACTCAAGATAGCTTAGGTACACTGTCAGCAGCAGAAACATCTGAACTAATCACAGAACACCAACAAAACCAGTAAATGAATCAGTGTCCTATATAGTTTGATGAGAATCACTACCCAGATATTAGAGAAGTTACTCTAAAGTTTCTAAGAGAAGGAAATGCCTTCTCCCTAAAAAGTTTGTGGGTTTGGTTTTTGGGCTTTTTTTGTTTATGACTGCATTTGTTGGGGGGTGTTTTTGTTTTTTTTTTTGTTTTTTTTTTGTTTGTTTTTTACACATTCAGTATGAAAATAAAACTGAAATTATACTGGCTTAAAACACAAAAAATATGCAAAAAAGCAAAAGTTCATATTCTAGACAGCAATCAATATTTTTTGTACTAAACAGTTCAAACCAAGAAGACTAGACACAAAATTACAATGGCTGTTTTAAGTTATTATCAGTGTAAGTCTAAACAACGACACAACAGTAAGAGCAGCATAATAGGCCAGACAAGTGTTCCACTTAGCTCAGTAACTCTGGCATCTTCACGCACAACAGGGTCACCAGTTAAAGTCCTGTCTGATCCCAAACACAAAAACATTCAAACCAGTGACTACAGAAGACCAGAGGAACAGAAAAAACTTAGCCTAGCATTACTCTCGCCAACATTCTCTAGGTCTCTTATGGGCTGTGGATCCAGAGATCTCCAGCAGCAATGTTTGGGGGTATTTTTCATCCTTAATGGAATTTTCTTCTGCAAGTTTTCCCACATGTTCTGTTGAACCTGTGAAGCAGCACTTCTTCCAGCTTGTTTCACAGCTGGCACGTTGTCACTTCACTTGACACCCTTCATCATTGCACCAGAAAACTAAACTGCCATTTTCCATCTTCTCCCTTCGTGTCCCAGTAACAGTGTTTAGACCAGACCAGCCACATTTCTCAGATAAAGAATCCTACCAATTCTGCTGCTTCTGACGTGAAAGCTAATTGAAGTTACCGCTGCTTTTCCCCAGTTCTGCTCTAACCTCTGATAAACGGGACAGGAGGATGCATGCAGCATTGAACATAAGTTTACAACAACAGGGTAATAGCATGGCAGCCCAGGTAATTTTTCATTCTTCATTCCTTTCCAACTAATTAATAACATTTGTAGCATTCCTCCCACTTCTACTGCATTCAGGCACTGAGTTCAAAATCTCAAAGAACGATCAGAAACTGCAGGTTCTTACTCTGCTCCCAGACTATTGTTTCTCTTCCCACTGTGTATTCTGCTTGCACTGGATTTCATTTGCCACTTCATTATTCAGTCACTCAGTAGCTTGAAGTCCTTCTACACTTTCTACATTATTCTGAATATCCTCATACTCCTAGAGTATTTAATCATTTAAACTTACCATCTTAATTTTTGCAAAGGTCTCTGAAGCAGGGCCCCAGCCCTTCGCACTTGTTGCAACCATTCTACCCTCTCAGTATCTGTACAACTATTTCTATGCTCAAGTACCAAATAGGCTCAGAAACAAACATGTCTGAAGTCAGCCAGTCAAGAAGAAAAAACAAAAAAAAAGAAAAAAAAGGTTTCACCTTCATCAGTTCACCAAAGTTTCCTGGTTACACACATGTCCAACTTAGCACAAAGCAGTGTTCAAAGGCTGGGCAAAGCTTGATCGAACCAGCCAAGAAATAGTGAAACTATAACCTGGCCTCAGCCAACAATTCTTTTCTTCGGAAAGGACTCATCATTACAAAGCATTTTGATACTTCAAATTACATCTATGAACTTGATTTAGCATATTAAACAGGTCAATATGTTGCCATGTGTAGTTTCAAGCACCCAAAGCAAATCCATTAGTGCACCTTGAAACTGTTTTACAACTGTTTTGCAGGATAACGCTCTTCTAGAGGTTCCAAGACTTTCTTTCCAGCTTTTTATCTGGTCTGATTTAAAAGACTAGAGAAAGCAGCAAAAAGACACTACCAATTCATTTATTACACATAATCTAGCACAGATTTCTATTTTTAAAAAAATCAACAACTATTTTTATGAATTTTATATTTTAAAAAGTCTTCAAAAGCATATGACTAAGTACAGAAGTTTGTCCCGTAACTCCATCCAAATCATAGTAAAAATGCACCGTGCACCATTTTCCGGCACAAAGCACTTCACTGAGTCTATACATTGACTTATAAAACAGCCTAAATTCACAATAGCTACTTCAGACACTGAAGGATCTTGACACGCAGTAAAGGTCTGAGCCAATAAAGCAGACACTTCCCCATTGTCCACACTGCTCTCTTTGTGGGAGATAGCACTGCTGAAGTGATGACTAAACAGCTCATGAAGTAGCTCCTGCTGTGGCAGTTTATGGTTTATCTAACACATACACTGAAAATAGGGTTAGTTATCACAGTAGGCTGACACTAGCTGAACAGTTGCTTTCCACATGGATAAGAAGTTCCTCTTCAGGGAAACATTCCCTCAATGTTTTTGATGGAGATTAAGTGGGAAGAGCTACTGTTTTAACAAGTTGACTTGACTTAGCAAGCCATAAGTGACTTAAAGGAGTTGTCTCTGAAGTGCCCTCTGGAAACACTGCACAAGAAATCATGAGAAATTCAGTGCAGACCAGCGTAAAAACTGCATGCCCGAGAGGCTAACAACTTTCTCGTCTGTCTTGCCACAGCTCTCTCCACTGTAGTGGAGTACCAAAAAGTCACACCTAGCATTAAAATAAAATTTCTGTTGGAAGTGAAAATGCAAACTGAGATTAACTTCTTGCTTGCCAATTCTAAAATTAATTTAAAGGTTCCACATTTTCCAGAAATTTGCTTTCATGTCTTCCCTAAAGTTAGCTCCACAGCACTTTCCTACCATACCATTTAGAGTCACCAATAAAACTAGTAACCTTTAAGTAACAATTTCCCCACCATCTTAAAAAGTTCTCTCCAAGAACTTCTCGTTGAAAAATATCCAATGGATGTCTTGTTTGTCAGAAAAGCTTATCTGACATAAAAAGCTACTTTATCTCACTTAACTTGCACAACTAAGCTACACTGCACGTCACACAGCATGTCCAGCCCACCTTGGCTTTACATCCTTTACTCAATACTGAATATGCTGTGGCTGTATTCTTACTCAAGCACTTAAAACACAAAGAAAGTACTTGCACGCCCATACAGTCTTTCAGAAGTCAGTGGGGAAAGTCAGTATAATATGTCTGCATGTTGAAATATGCTTCAAAATAGAAGTACACTTTCACCATTTCTTGCGAAGTTGATCTCATGAAGTACTGAAAATGCTCACTGATTTCTCATCTTGGGGTCTAGATTATAACCATAGATATCCTCAAGCAAGACAGGCAGAAAACCTTCCATCATCTACTTCATGAATTAGTTTATAATATGCTGCAGCAGCAGGAGATCGCTGTCATTCTTTGTCAACAGGAATGGCAAACTCCCTCTCAAGGTAAGCTACCTAACTCAGTCTGATTTGTGAACCATGACAACTTGCTATGCATAGCATTCTATTTATCAAAATCAAAATTACACTTCTGTTAGTTTTGACTTGTTTGTCACCCTAACCTCTTTAGTAGAGGTTAGAAAAATGTCCATGTTCATTTGGTGCCTCTGACTCCTCTATCTCTATAGCAATCCTACAGAAGAAAGAAGCAGAAAAAGATGTGAAGAGGCTGCAGGACTGAAAACACTGAGCACTCTCCCTCTTGTTTCCAACTGTCTTTTTCCTCAGGAGCACGGCCAGGTTAAGGTCATTCACACTCCCATACTCCTTCAGTTGGAACAACTGCTGTGAAACAATTCCTGTTAAGAAAAATTCCCTCGACAGAGTTATTTTTTCAGCCATCTCAGTTCAC